TTCTAACGGTACAGACGAACACACAGATGTTTTCTAACGGTACAGACAAACAAACAGAAAGGACCAAACACATTATCGCTCCACCTTTCAGGAACAGCTGAATAAATCAGGTAATATTAGGCCTCCTTTTGCTTTAAGAGAGCAAAAAACTTTAATCTTCCTCAGACTTTTATTTTGTCACATGAATCTGAGAACAAGTTTTTTTTGTTTTGTCAATGTCAATTTATGTATAAAGTACATAAAAAAAGACAAAAGCTGACCAAAGGGCTTTACAATTTAGTCAAATTAAAATGAAAACACAAAAAAAGAACAGGAGAATGCATCTTGTGCCACTCAGGAAATAAGAAAGTTAACAATAAAATAATAATAAAATAACCCTAAAGAAAAATCAGCTCTGACTGGTTCTCATGGATCAAAGGGAAAGAAGATTTAGTTTTAAATAAGAAACTGGTACATTAACAGGAAGAACAACAACAACACAGGAAGCAGCCATGAAAAAAAAAAACATGTTTTCAACATTATAGTTCATGTCACAGCATTTAATGTTTGTCGGTTTTTCATGAATTTGTAAAATTGTGTGTATAAGTGGTTTATTTTGGCGCGTCGTGTTTTTGTGTGTCTGCAGTTAGTGAAGGCTGCACTTGCCTTGGCGCTATTTGGAGGCAGACAGAAACACACGGGCAAGAACAGTGTCCCAGTGAGAGGGGACCCTCACATCCTGATAGTGGGAGACCCCGGACTGGGAAAGAGTCAGATGTTACAGGTAGAACAGAAAACACAGCACCAGATGAAACACCTGTTGTGTGAACTTTGACCCAATCGACTTTGTGTTTTGTGTGTAGGCGGTGTGCCATGTGGCCCCCAGAGGGATCTATGTTTGTGGAAACAGCACCAGCACTACAGGTAACTTATTTTTCATTTACTGGTAAATAAAGCATGTTAGGGTCCACGTATACCAGCAAGAGAGAGACAGGAGACTGGCCAAAAAGGTTTTCAATTGTATTTAATAAAACTTAAAACTGCTGTTCTGGACCCATAAAAGAGGTGAAGAGAAAAACGTTTAACTAAAAGTACCAACTGACCCCATGACTGAGACGAGAGGGAACTTACAAAGTGGCTCATCAGACCATTCTAACGCACTGGTGGGCGGCTGGGACGGACAGACCAAAGTAAATGGACTAAATTACAAATAATGTTGGCAACAAAACAAAACTGATCACAGTAGTGATAAATAGTAACCTAAGAAAGATGTTTACAACAATTTTTATCTAGACAAAAATGTAAAAATCCGATTACATTGTTTAACTTTGTACAGTATTCATTCATTCAACCTTTATGTAACGTCATGAAGGAACATCTACTTCAGCTGTTTCGCAGATAAACATACAGGCCCCTGTAGAAAGACATAAACTAGGCCAAATAATCAAACGTGTAGTTTGAGCTTGGCTCCAATCACCAAAACGACAAAAAGAACCAGATTTGTTACATATTCCATCACTTGCAGGAGTATTTTTTGTATTTTCATTATAAAACTAGCAAAATAAAATAATAAAAATAAACTATTGATTGAAAACCCTTCACACTGTACCTTCTGGTAGTTTTACAGATAAAACAGAAACACTGTTCAGACAAAATGAAAGGCTAAACATGAAACCAGAACAATCTGAACAAGTCTGCAGAATGGTAGAATCAGAAAATGTTTATGAACTACTTATTCAGAGCAGCACAGTGGATCAGATGGTAGAGCTGCTGCCTCTCAGCGAGCAGGTCACTGGTTCAAATCCCAGCCTGGGGCCTTTCTGGGTGGAGTTTGCATGTTCTCTCCGTGCATGTGTGGGTTTTCTTCGGGTACTCCGGTTTCCTCCCACAGACCAAAAACATGCATGTTAGACTGATTGGTAACTCTAAATTGTCTCTAGGTGTGAGTGAGAGGGTGAAATGTTATTTGTCTCATTTGTCTCCGTGTGTCCCTGTGATGGACTGGAGACCTGTCCAGGTGTCCCCAGCCTCTCATAGTGATGGCTGGACATGGGCACCAGTGACCGCTTTGACCAAAAAAGTAAGAAGCGGGTAAAAGATAATGGATGACACTCCATATTCCAGCCTGCATCACTATGTTTATCTCTGCAGGACTAACAGTGAGTTTGTCTCGAGACTCGGGGACGGGGGATTATGCTCTGGAGGCTGGTGCCTTGGTGTTGGCGGACCAAGGTACAAAAACAATTAAAACTTTGATTAGAACCCAAGGCTGCAGTTTCATCTCACCAATACATTCAAACCAAACTACTTCCTGGTTTGTTTTTCCTTCTGCCAGGTCTGTGTTGCATTGATGAGTTTGATAAGTTGGGGAACCAGCAGCAGGCTCTGTTAGAAGCTATGGAGCAGCAGTCTGTGAGTCTGGCTAAAGCTGGTATAGTTTCCTCTCTGCCAGCCAGAACATCTGTTGTTGCTGCTGCAAACCCCACTGGAGGACACTACAACAGAGGCAAGACGGTGTCAGAAAATCTGAAGTGAGTGTGATCATCTGGCGAGTGCGAATGTTCTTTGTGCTGCCGATGTGATGGACTGTCTGTGTGCAGGATGAGCTCAGCTCTGCTCTCCCGGTTTGATGTTGTGTTCCTGCTCCTGGACATCCCAGATGAGTCACATGACCGTCAGCTGTCGGAGCACGTCATGGCGAACAGGGCAGGGAAAAACCGAACCAGCAGCGCCACCGTCACCAGGACCAGTTCTGACTCGGAGACCTGCATCCTGCTGCAACACTCAGCCTTGCCACTGTCTGAACGGCTGCAGGTAAAACTCTGTTTCCTGCACAGAACATTTAAAAACATGCAGATAATTCAGAATACTTTCAATATACGTATACCTTGAAAAGAAAACGTCATAAAAAGAACAAGTATAAGTTAATTTATTGCCTGATTATTATTATTTTTCTATCAAAGTAGCATTCAAATTAGAGCAGGGCTATTCATCATGTGACTTAAGTCCGGCCTGCCGGTTAGTTCATTAATAAAAAATAAAAAAAAAATCCATGAGATAGACCTTTAAATATTTTGAATGACAAATTGTTCATTGCCTGTCTCATATTTCAACATTTTCATGAGTACACAGAAATACACTTTATGAAGAGTCCACTCTCCTCCCAAAGTATTGACTTAAACAACACACGGCCGGGCCAGGCATCATCTTGTGACTTCATTTTTCCGTGGGGGTCTACACAGATCCATGTTTTGGTGTTAACTATGTTTAATTATAAGAATTAAATTATCAGACACGAGTCGAAAGGCTTCACGCTCTCTCTCTGCTGTGTGGGGAGTTCTGATAAACTGATCATATCTGTGTGGTCGCCTGCGAGCCGGATTAAACATCATCAGATTTATAACTGGGGGAATATTGATGAAGACGCACAGCACCTTTGTAGTTAGTTAAAATAATAGTTAACTACAAATAGGATGGATTAAAAGTTTCTTTCGGCTGCTCCCTTCTTTAGGGGTTTCCACAGAGAGCGAACTCGCATGAAAGATTTGGCAATTGTTTTACGCCAGATGCCCTTCCTGACGCAACCTGGGCTCAAACCTGCAACCTCAGGATTACAAGACCTGACACTGACCACCAGGCTCCCACTGTCCCACAAACAGGATGGATTGAGTGAGTTAACTCATTATAGTAAACGGCACGAAGGAGACATTCATCACACTCCTCTTCAGCCCAGCTGAGTTCTGCTCCACCTGTTGGTTCAGCTCAGATCTCATCTGAGTGAGACGTGGACGCTTCACCTGTCATTTGTAAATCGTTAGAGGAACAACTGGTCTGAGCAGCCACTTCATTGTAAAGGAGAACTGGTTCCTAATGGACCTTCCTGGAGCAGCAACATGTTGGTCATTTAGGGCAGTGTTGTTCAAAGTGGAGGACGCCAGGGGGCGCTGGGGGGCCTCAGAAAGCTGGAGAGAAGAATATTAAAATAAAAAGTAACAATAATAATAAAAATTGCCCACTAGGGCAATCTGTGCCTGTCATTAACATGCTTGAGAGAGAGGTTAGATCTGTTTTGTTTTGTTCTTCTGCTCAACAGTTTGTTGAAAAGTTTTTTTGTTTCAGTGGGAATATAAACAGTGTTTAAAACATGTTAGTAACATGTTTATGCTCAGCAGCTGTAATAATAGAATATAGTGAATAAAAGTTAAAACGTTCTAAAAGTTGATGTTTCTTTACATATTTTGTAGCATTTGTGGGTTTGCGAGCGGGGCCTCAGCCAGAAGCTAATGCTGTTTGGGGGGACCATGGCATGGAAAAGTGTGGGAACCCCTGATTTAGGGAACATCAAAAACAGTCAACATTTTATTTTAGTTTGAAAAGTGTAAAGATTTGTCAACTCAAAGATGTCAGAATAATAATTGTGTTAAATTGGAGGCATAGCATCATTTTTGTTTTTAATATTGTTTCACAGATCCATCCATTTTCTTCTGCTTATCCGGGGTCGGGTCGCGGGGGTAGCAGCTTAAGTATGGAGTCCCAGAATTCCCTCTCCCCAGCCACTCAGTCCAGCTCTTCCGGGGGAATCCCGAGGCGTTCCCAGGCCAGCCGAGAAACATAGTCCCTCCAGCGTGTCCTGGGTCTTCCTCTGGGTCTCCTCCTGGTGGGACGTGTCCAGAACACCTCACCAGGGAGGCGTCCAGGAGGCATCCTAAACAGATGCCAGAGCCACCTCAACTGGCTCCTCTCAATGTGGAGAAGCAGCGGCTCTACTCTGAGTCCCTCCCGGATGACCGAGCTTCTCACCCTATCTCTAAGGGAGAGCCCAGACACCCTGCGGAGAAAACTCATTTCGGCCGCTTGTATCCAAGATCTTGTTCTTTCGGTCACAACCCAAAGCTCATGACCATAGATGAGGGTAGGAACGTAGATCAGTAAATTGAGAGCTTCACAGAATATCACTAATATGCAAGGAAATGAGCGTGTCCCATGAAGTTGTACATTGTAGAATTGGACTAGAGCGGGCTCATTAACACATAATTTGAACAATTTATATTCCCTAATATGTTAAATTCTTTGATCTTTACTTTTGTTGGCTGATGATTTGGATCTTGTAAGTCTGTAAAACGTCCATTATAAAGCTGTCGGAGGGGACAGTATCGAGTTGCTGAAAATTATACAATGTATCTTAAAGGAACTTAAAGCTTGTTTTGAAAAATGAACAAATGTCACAAGAACCAAAAGTCACAGCCATCATCATCCTGGATGCTCTTAATGATACGTTTGAATGGCTGCATGCAAGAGTAGTGCACAAGAGGAACAAACAGGATCTCAAGTATTCTTGCACACCAGTTATCAGTGAGGTGGAGGGTTTCTGGGGTCTGGTCCTGCATGCTGTGTTTTTCCCTCATATTTACCAGTCCCTCCTCAGCATTTCTCCTCCTGTGATCCAGCACTGTCACACCTGGGTCTAATCCTAATCACCGCAGGTGTCTGTCATTTCACCTTGTCAGCGTCCGTATATATTCAGTCCCTAGGTGTTATGTCTTTGTCTCTGGATTGTCCTTGTCCTGTCCAAGGCTTCTTGTTTTCTTCATCCCTCTGTGTTTCCTCCATGTCTGCTGCCCCGACAGCCTTTTGTTTTGTTTATCATAATAAACGTTTTACTTATTTTACTGGAGTCTCCTCGTCTTCCTGCACTTTGGGTTCTACACACGGAAGCCGATCATGACATGAGGCAGAAAATATAAAAACTGAAGGAATTGTTAAAAACTAAATGTTTTTTTTTTTTAATGATTGCACATTCTAAGAGTCAGGACCTCAAACATCTTACTGATGAACAACAAAAAAGGTTAAATCATTTCATCTGGACCAGTTTGAAATTGGTCCAGATGAAATGATCTACCTGAGTGATTGAGCCTGCAAACCTTTTATCCCGCTGATCCGTGTTCCTGCCTGGTTTCGTCTGCAGCTTCCTACAGGTGAATGTGTCGACCTGGTCCCAGCCTGCTTGCTGAGGAAGTACATCAGCTACGCTCGACAGTACGTCCATCCCTCCCTGGCTCCTGAAGCAGCACAAACCCTGCAGGACTTCTACCTGTCTCTGAGATCTCAGGCCCATTCTGCTGACGCTACGCCCATCACTACACGGCAGCTGGAGTCTTTGATCAGACTCACAGAGGTAGGACCCTCTCTAAAACTTCTTCATCTTTATCATCAAAGGTCTAGGGAATGATGTTTTGCTTTTGTCTGTAGTGTTGGCAAAATATCACATAACCTACTGGACAGCTTTTAATGAAACTTGCACAAAGTAATCATTGGATGTACTTCTAGAAACTGATAAACTTTTATAGTTTAATAGATGCACCCTTCTTCTTTTTTGTGATTGTTTTTGTGTTCAGGCTAGAGCCAAGTTGGAGCTCCGAGAAACAGCTACCAAGAGTGATGCTGAGGATGTGGTGGAGATCATGAAACACAGGTAACTGCAGCAGTAGTGATTATTAGTGATGCACGAGTCCTGAAAGTCATTTTTACTGAATCAGGAGTCGTGATTCTTCTTTTCCATTAGCTCAATTCACTGCTATAGCTAGCTATAGCTCACTGAGACCGGGCACCTTGGGCTTCTGCTAAAGTATCTGCATTAATAAACCGCTGCATTATCCCTGTGGGAAAAGCTGCTGCTCTGGTTACTGGTTACTGGTTACTGGTTACTCAACTGCACCCTCTACCAACCTGCGGTGAACACTAATGAAAAAAGTGCATGAGTGTTGAGTGAATCAAACTCCTGGCTCACTCATTTGAGACAGGGATCACAAGTACAAAGTACAACTCCTGATTCAAACGAGTCACTCAGGACGGTGAGTGAGTCGTACAAATGAATCATGTGTTGCTGTGAGAGCCCCTCCCTCACATGAGTCGTAAGTCTGCAGTCCTGGACGACATGTTAAAGTAGTTATCCTCTGAAACATTCTGTTCCCCCATCAGAGGAGGCACTCGCGTAGGCTCAGTGAGAAAGAAATGATTCGTTACACTTGATGTTTGTCTCTGAGGTGATCTAAAGGCTAAAATGTGGATATATTTATCTGGTTACACAATCTATCCTGCAAATAAACTTCAATATGTGACTCACTACTTTCAATATCACTAGTTTAGAAAATGCTTTTGCCATTCAAGAATAAAATAAAATTCCATGTGCTTGTGCAGAAAGAGAAATATTTGTAATTTAAGAAATGTTACTTTTTCACTCTTTTTTTCCCAAATGGATCATTTTCTCAGCAGTATGAATCAGTAGGGATTGGGGTTGCCAATCATTTGATTCAGTAAGAATAACTGATTCTTCTTGGTGAATGATCCATTTAAACTCAATTTGAACAATCTTGCCATCACTTCATCACATTTGCTTTTAGAAATGTAAAAAGGAATAAAACTTCCTAGTTATGCATTTGGTTGTTTTTTTTCCTCAGTCTTGTATTTCTTTGCCTTATAAACACAGAATGTTACAAATACAATGACAGGCTTGTCATTTTAGTACCTAAATGTTTATGGTGATGGCAAACACGTTTCATATTGTAGAAGTTGGTTGTTGTCTCTTGTAGTGGGAGTTAAATGTCTTTGCTTTATGTTTGAAGTCTGGCCGACACGTACTCCGATGGTCTGGGGAATCTGGACTTTGAACGCTCTCAGCTCGGGTCTGGCATGAGTCAGCGCAGTGCCGCAAAGCGGCTGGTCAGTGCGCTGCACTCTCACGCTCAGAGGACCAACCAGAAGCAGTTTGATCTGCAGACGCTTCGATCCATAGCTGATAAAGTGAACATAAAGGTGAAAGCAGTCACACGTACTGTATGTATCCAGAACAGTGACAAAACACAACAAACACACAAACTTTGTTATTGTATAAAATATTAACTGTAAAGTACCATAATTTCCAGACTAAGCTGCACCCTCTTAAGTTATATATTTTTTACATATAGGCCACACTTGTCTATAAGCCACAGGTGTCCACGTTGTAACATGAGATATTTACACAAAAATATATTTTTAACTTTTAATTAACTAGGTACTGGCAACATACACAAATACATACAGTAATTTTTTTTTTTTTAACAGTGCCTGTAACACGGCTGGTTAAAAATATATATATGTATATGTACAGTAGCCTACCAGGAAGTCATTTATCACTATCTTCATCCTGCATGTCATTCCCCTCCCTATCTGTTACAGAAGCACGATTCGTAGTGTACATCCGGGTCGCACAGATCGTCGTTGTTTATGAATAAAAACTCTTAATTTGCTTAGAAAAGTATGTGCTCTATCTCCAACAATCTTCATGCAGCTTATTTACGCCACTCGTATTTCCGTTACAAATCACTGGTTAAGATATGTGATGCATTAGACCTGACCCCCAGCCTGGGCTGAGTGAGGAAAAACTCTGCAAGATACAGAATGAATTATTTCCATGGTGAAACGGCGCCCCTCAGTCGTGAAGCTGCATATCTTTTTAACCATGACGTAAATATGTCAATGATTTTAACAGAAATATGAGTGGCGTAAATTAGCAACATGAAGATGGGTGGAGATGGAGCACATATTTTTCTAAGTAAATTGACAGTTCTTATTTATAAATAGAATTGTACTAGTACATTTTCCTTAATCTGGTATATTCAATGGTGATCCGCACGACCCAGAAGTATTCCTTATAGCACATGCACAAATGAGCAACACTATGGATCGGCTTCTGTTACAGATCAGGGAATGACACTGCACATCACGCAGCTGCCTTTTGAAACAGGGAAGGGGGAACTTCATATCCCCCACTCCCTGAAGGCACAACAGGAAGCCCCCCCCTCGTTCTCCCCTCCCCGTTTCATTGGTCCACTGGGACCTGTTTTATTAATTTCATTGGTCAGATTTTTTTTAACCTTTTATTTTGACAAGTAGTCTCATTGAGTCACGAGGACCCACTCTCAGGTGTGTATTGGGCAGCTATGTGCGTGCCCGAGTGTGACGAGGCTAAATGTTTTGGCAGCAGGAAGCTCATTAGCCCGTTTAAAAAAAAAAAAAGAAAATCCATAAATTAGCTGCACATTGTATAAGCTGCAGATTCAAAGCTTGTGAAAAAAGTAGCAGCTTATAGTCTGTAAATTACGGTACTCTAAACTAAAGCTAGTGTACACTGAAACACTTGTGTTTTTCATGCTGGGAAATTTATTTTGGCTCTTTATCCTTTCTAGGTGGTGGATTTTCAGGGTCTCTTGAGTTCCCTGAACGAACAGGGTTTCCTGCTGAAGAAAGGGCCCAAGTTGTATCAGCTGCAGACCATTTGAACACTGAAGTCTAACGGTACGAGTGCCAGAGACCAGTCCAAAATTACAAGAAAATGAACAAATGTTTTTGTTGCAGTTTCACTGAACTCTGTTTTGGGTCTCGTTTTGCCTGTCAGTTTTTGAAAATCGCAGCCTATTCTTGCGTGCTTGGCTTGTATACTTTAGAAATGGAGATTTGGACCAGTTTCTTTTTAAATGTCATTTATTATCAAGGTGTAATTTACACCTGGATGTTTTCCATGATGGTAGATATTTTGTGCAGCTGTCAAAATACAGCTTTAGTGCTCTTGAAACACGTTGGAGATGTCTTTTAAGATTGAACATTTAAAAAGAAATTTGGTGCACAAATTTTAAAAATTCTGCCAACATGAATGCAAGTTTTTGTGATAGGAGGAAATTGAGGAGCTCAGCAAAGGTTAGGAGATATTTTGGACACTCCCTTGCAGCCGAATGACTTTAAAGCACATCCAGAATATACAAGGACTTCTGCAAGGTCTGTGTTTGGTTAACTGTAATAATCAACAACAAATGTGGATGTCATAACCACCATCAGACCACCCCCTGCCCCTCTGAAGACACTGAAACAATGACTGCTGACAAAAATGAGGCAGTTCATCAAACGTCTGAACTGTAAAAAAAAAAAAAATAAACCACTAGTAGTAAAATTGATAAACATGTTTGCAGTTAAAATGAACTAAGACTGCTAAACACTTTGTCCCATTTAATAGAAATCAACACTTTTGAGCTGAAACTGTAACAATAAGAATATACCATCCAATCTTTTGTTGTAAAAAGTTTATCAAAATGTTCTGAACATTGTTATTGTCTGTTTAAAGCTTAAATAACAGAACTGCCATAATATATTTATCTTTTATCATATCATTGAAACTGTTGTTTCAAATGCACTTTGTCTTTGGTCTATAAATAATTAGTTTTTGTTAGTGTTTAGGTTTTAAATCCACTGAAACAGAATGTTTATCAGTAAACTTGTGGCTCAGTGCAAGAAAAACCACAGCCCTTTTATTTTGTGTTGAAAAGCTGCCAATATGTATTTTTAAGCTCTTTATTAATCTGAAGGGTGTATGTTGATCTTTGTAGTGTTCATATTATGAATAGTTCCTTTTTTTTTTTTTTTTTTTCTAAAATAAAAAGGATGATGAACTCTAGAAAGCAAGTAGGGTCCCTTTCAAAATAAAGTTTTTTCGAAATAAAGGTTTTACGACATCATCTTCCAGCTCACTTTACGGCAACATGGCGGCCTTCAGGACGGGGCACGGTCTGTGAATCTATCCGCACCATGACCGCGGGTGGGAACGTCACGGCGGCAGCAGGTCGGTAACGTGAGGCGCGTGGAAATGTTAACGTGTTTTGGGCGGGCTGCCGCTCCGTTGCTTCGCGTGTCCGCGTGCAGTCCCGGGAGTGTGTGTGGGCTCGCGCCCGCACTATGGCGGGTGGCGCACACACCTGTCGCTCAGCGCTTGAGCCCCACACGGCACCAGGTGAGCGTCTCGTGGTTCTTCAGACTGAAATGGACAGACGTGCGTGCGTCGTGCTGGACCAAGCAGGTTCCTGGACACGCGCGGGGGACCGTGCACGCGCACCACGTTTGTTTGGAGAGACCAGCGGGCGGTTTCCGGTCCCCGTTGACCCAGAGAGCAGGTCGAGGACTCAGCAGCGGAACGCCCGAGGAGGCGGCGGACCGGGAGGAACCGGGGCTGGTACCAGGACACGGACTGTTCAAGTTCAAAGAGCTGGTGAGTCCAAAACCACAACAAGAAAAGTTTACCAGCAGGACACCAAACTTTGTTGTGATTTTTAGTTTTGATCAATAATCAGTCACTCTTACCTTTTAACCTGTCTGTGTCTGTTAGTAAAATATCTCGTGAACCACTGGATGTACATCTGTTCAACCTTTTAAGGCAACTAGTGCCCTCAGTATAGTGTCAATACTGTACCGCAAACTTAGAAATCATAGACCAGTATATTTATTTTGAAACTGGTTCATTCATTTGTCACGTCTAGACTGGACTATTGCAATGGTTTATTACCTGGGTGTCCAAAAACTTCTTTAAAACGTCTTCAGTTGATCCAAAATGCGTCAGATCACATGTTCTCCAGGCAAATTCAGATAAGATGACCTTCAAGGCCAGCCAGGGAGCCAAATTCAGATACACAGTGGTTTTGGGGACAGGCAGAACTTGATGGCATCTACCTTGAGTTCTGTGTTGGTCCAAATGGTTCTGAAATGTCCAAATTACATGGCCACACCGATGGAACGTGACTGATTAAAATCCCCGAGATCTGATCCATTCAGCCCAAAGCATTTGAGTCCGGGTACTCTAGACCTGAACCAAGCCATCATAAAGGCAAGCAGCGTGATCGGGTCCAAATTTGCTGCCGACGATTTCCTTGATTGTAGATAAAACCAGCAACCAGCCCAATCCAAAAAGCAGGAACCAGTTATCGTAAATCCAATTAAATGTGCGTCCTTAAAATCCACAGATGGCATCAGAGATAGACACATCATCAAGTCTTCAAGTCGATGAGATATCCAGCTGTGTGCGTGCCAACAGGGCAGATCGGCTCGCCTACAGCCTGTCTGCTCTTTGAAGAAACGTTATCAATTATGTTGAGGGACCAACTGATCAAAGCATCCATTATTATGGTTCAGAAGAAATGCACGAGAGGCTCAGGAGCAGTTTCACAGACAGAGCAGCAAAGCGGAGATGGAGGGGAGGGGGAAACGTCCGACCTCGGCAAGAGCAAGTGGTGAAGTGAAGCTTAAGACTTTCCTAATTGATTAATCCTATAGTTGGGATGGTCTTGTTATGCTGCTATAGGCTTGGACTACTGGAGGACAAATGGACCTCGTGTCCTTAAATTAATTGTTAAAATTGAATAGTTTTCATTTGATAGTATTTCTATCTTAACATGTGATTCTTGACCTGCCATTGTGTATCTGTTCCTACCAAACCCAGCCGGTTGAAGCAGATGACCGCTTGTCCTGTGCCTGGTTCTGCTAAAGGTTTCTTCCTCATGAGGGAGTTTTTCCTTTCCACTGTCGCCTTCATGCTCGCTCAAGATGAGTCTGTGATGGAGTTAAACTCCAAGCAGTCTGCTCCTCAGATAAATAATGTCAAATTATTATTTTTATATATGAATGTTTCTGTTCAGTGCCCTGAGACGACTTCTGTTGTGACTTGGCACTATATAAATATATTAAATTGAAACTCTGGCACAACAGTTTCTTGCATGATCAATAAAGTTTTATCTTATCTTATTTCCAGTACCACAGAACTTAAGTTCTGGTCTTGACTGACATGTTTGATCCAGTCCAACACTCCTGGTCCTGATGGAACACCTGGTTTAGATGATGGTGATGACAGAGGAGGAGGATGATGTCGTCTTGTTGTTGCCATCATCATCGTTTTATTAAACTATTGCAAAGCTTTCTAATTCTTTAGGAACTCCAGTAAATAAAACCAAAGTCCATGAATTGTTTTTTTTTTTTTAAGTGCAACAAGATTGATAACAAGATTGTCTGGATTGGTGAAGAAATTAGGAAGTTATGGCAAATTTGTTCTAGAAAAAAAGTCTATTTTTTGCCTCTTTGGGTTTAACCTTAAAAATTAAAATAAACTGACTTGCAACAAACAAATCTTCCTTAGTTACTGAAATAATTAGTTGAAGTTTCAGGAGAAGTAGGAAATGGCATGTTAATTGTTGATTACTAACTAAACCCTGTAATCTGGAAGTATGCAAAGGAAATGGGCACCAGTCGTAGAACTAGATTGAAAATCTGTGATTAATCGGAGGTCAGAGACGAACCGTCTTGTTTCTGCGTGACACAACACACAGCATCGTAATGTTGGAGCTCTCAAACCACGTTCTGGTTCTGAAAAGTGCAGTTACTTGTGGAGTTATGCACGCTGCGCATACATACACAGGCGGAGCGTGCACGTCGGCCCTGATGCGGGAATTGTCTCGTATCTAAACACCGTGCAGCCCTATAGCCATCTTAATTCAAGATGGCTGCTACAGCCAACAGGCCTTAACCATCCATCCGTCCGTTTTCTTTGTCCATGGCATACACCCTGAACAGGTCCCATCACAGGGACACAGAGACAAACGTTCTCTCACAACCATGGAAACCGTTTAGACACCAAATAATCGAACATCACACAGTACAGAATTTTACATCATGTTATTGTTGAGGTTTGACTACTGATGGGTACATGAAGCTTTACTGAAGCTTGTTTTTCCCCGCCAAGATTAATTTCAACACACACTTTGGCGCCATCTTGTGGCCACAGGTATACAGCAGCTTGAAACCACAGCATGAAATGAATGGTTTCATCGTAGCTGTCCATCAGAGCTGACTGCTGTTCTTTAACCTTCTGAGATGTGTATCTGATATCTACGACGCAGCTTTAGGGCCACGCTAAGAAAAAAAATACATTGCCACGCTTAAAAAAATAAAAATAAAAGCCATAAAATTATGAGAATAAAGTCGAACGAGTCTTTGCAGCTCTCGTTTTTTTTTTTTTTTTTTTTGTTTTTTTTTGGTTGGTTGCTTTTTATATACGAGTCGGATCTACGACACGACCTGTCAATCAATCCAGTAGGCGTGTCAGCAAATGAGCAGGGTTTACCACTTTTTAACTGGTAAAAATGAATATTGAGCATCTTGTTAAATTATACTTTCGTACTGGTTTTACAAATAAGGAGATAGTTAATCTGTCAGCACATCAGCATCAGATTATTATCAGGACTTTGAACCTGCTTACAGTAAGGTGGTACGCTCTGATGGGCTGCAGCGCAGCTCTGCAGGTAACGAGCATTTAGCTTCAGATTGGTCATTTGCTGATATGCCTACTGGATTGATTGACCGGTCGTCATGGATCCGACTCGTGGAAAAAAATTAAATAAACGAGAGCTGTAAAAGAAAAAAAAAAGTCTCATACGACTTATTCTCAATGTTAAAACTATTCTCGTAATTTTGTGGCTTTTAAATTTTTGTTTTTTTTGCATGGCAATGTAATCTTTGTGTTGCTGTGAACATTTCTGTTTTTTGTGGGTGAAAGAATAAAGTTATGGATTCATTCAACCTTTATTTAGACAGGTAACTCCCACTGAGCCTCGAGGACTCATTTACATATATTTTATATTTGATGAATAAATTATTTTTGATGTATTAACATGTTTAAACATGGCATGATGCCCTATTGCCCGTGACTTGTTGATATTTGTAAACACAGACTTTTATAATTGTATAATTCACAGCACAATACCAGTACAATACCACACAATACCAGTTTAGACTGACGCTCGTCATTTATTCATGTAATGAACCAGTTCATTGTTTACTTTGAGATCTGGTTGTAATTTATGCACAGTGTTTTTTTTTTAAGTTTTTTTTATTTTTTTTTATTTTTTGGGGGGGTGAAAGTGCTTATGAACTGGTAAATTAAACACATAGAGTGAGGAAAATCAGTATTTGATCACCCTGCAACTTTGCAAGTTCTCCCATTTAGAAATCATGGAGGGGTCTGAAATTTTCATCTTAGGTGCATGTCCACGGTGAGACACGTAGTCTAAATAAAAATCTGGAAATTACAATGTATGATTTTTATTTTTTATTTGTGTGTTACTGCTGCAAATAAGTATTTGAACACCTGCCAATCAGCAACAATTCTGGTTCTCAAAAACCTGTTAGTCCTCCTCTAAAAAGTCCACCTCCACTCCACTTATTACTCTAAATTAGAAGCACCTGTTTGAGGTTGTTAGCTGCATAAAGACACCTGTCCACCCCACACAATCAGTAAGACTCTAACTACTAACATGACTAAAACCAAAGAGCTGTCCAAAGACACCAAAGACAAAATTGTAGACCTCCACAAGGCTGGAAAGGGCTACGAGGCAATTGCTCAAAGCTTGGTGAAAAAGATCAACTGTTGGAGCAATTATTAAAAAATGGAAGAAGCTAAACATGACTGTCAATCTCCCTCGGACTGGGGCTCCATGCAAGATCTCACCTCGTGGCGAATCAATGATCCTAAGAAAGGTGAGGAATCAGCCCAGAACTACACGAGAGGAGCTGGTCCATGACCTGAAGAGAGCTGGCACCACTGTTTCCATGGTTACTGTGGGTGATACACTAAGACGTCATAGTTTAAAATCATGCATGGCACGAAAGGTTCCCCTGCTTAAATCGGCACACGTCCAGACCCGTCTTAAGTTTGCCCATGACCATTTGGATGATCCAGAGGAGTCATGGGAGAAAGTTATGTGGTCAGATGAGACCAAAATAGAACTTTATGGTTTTAATTCCACTCGCCGTGTTTGGAGGACCAAGAATGATGAGTACCATCCCAAAAACACCATCCCTACTGTGAAGCATGGGGGTGGAAGCATCATGTTTTGGGGTATTTTTCTGCACATGGGACAGTACGACTGCACTGTATTAAGGAGAGGATGACCGGGGCCATGTATTGTGAGATTTTGGGGAACAACCTCCTTCCCTCAGTTAGAGCATTGAAGATGGGTCGTGGCTGGATCTTCCAACATGAACATGACCCGAAGCACACAGCCAAGAGAACCAAGGAGTGGCTCCGTAAGAAGCATATCAAGGTTCTGGAGTGGCCTAGCCAGTCTCCAGATCTAAACCCTGTAGAAAATCTTTGAAGGGAGATCAAACTCCATGTTTCTCAGAGACAGTACAGAAACCTGGCTGATCTAGAGAAGATCTGTGTGG